ATCCCTTCACATGAGAATGTTATTTAATAAGAAGTGACTGAGGGAGAAAACCTCCTCTAACCTCTCTAACTACCAGGTCTGCTTGTCAGAAATATATTTGGGAGAAACTGGAGCAAAAGGCAATGAGCAAGTGGCTGAGGGCACATTAAAAGTCAAAATCTCCTTGACACAAGGCTTTTACACTGCGATGGAAAAAAATACTTAACATTTAAACATTTAGCAGTTTAAATTGTCAGCTAACTTACGCATACATTAGAAACCAGAGAGTCCAGATGTTGGCATACATGCTATAAAACATCAAAGTTTCATTATGCATTTATTAACTTAACTAGCATCTTTCTCTTCATTGATATAATATGAGGAGCACCAGTTATTAATGCATGACCATACATTCCATTTTGTAAATCAACTTCTTGATGACAGCCTTTTCTCATTCAGGTATCTGTTTATTGTTTTGCACAGCTCAACTATCAAACGAAGTGTAATAAAAACTGGCACAAATTAGACAAATTGCAGTATATATTCTGTCTTTCTTCTGAACAAGTCTGATCAATGCAAGTCTGCAAGTCCTGATCAATGCTTTCTGGCATCTTCTGCATTGCGAATTTATGTCAATTTAATATTTCAGAGACTAAGATACTTTATAGGTCAATTAGCAATTCAATAAAAAATTCAGTGTTTCCCAGATCCTTGCAGATGCATGTGTGAGAAATTCTGAAATGCTCACATTTATAATGAGAAAACTGCAAGCTCTCCAAGTGGGAAGAAAGCTGCATATTTGACTTAATCATCTCCTGACACATCCTTATATTTTCTATCAAGGTACAATACTAGGACTTAGCTGCTGTTCTTGTAACTACAACACTAAACACTCTTTTCACTTGGATTTATTACTAATCCTGAAACAAAATGTGAGCATGTTCTAAGATAGGAGGACCCCATGAAGTTGTTTATGCTCCAGAAGAGTCACGTTCTGCTATGGGAATGCAAATACTTGTTTCTGAGGTGTTTTCAGTCTCACAGCTTAAAGGAAATCTTTCCAAATATCAAGATTACACTTTGAAATAACGTACCCGATGATGCTTCTTTGAGTGCAAGGCTGGTCAAGATGACCTTGTGAGGTTCCTTCCAACCTGAATTTTTTTGCAAGTCTAATAATTCATTAGAGTTGTGAACTCCTGATGTATCTTTCAATCCAATTTTCTCACGTTTAGCAATAAAACTTCAAAACAAACACCAGTTATTCCAGGCACCCAAAGAAACCCACATTGTTCACGAGATCACAAGACATACACTCAGTGGCAATTTACACACTCCTGAGAACTTTTTCATCACTAAGTAATGGTGATGGTAATACAGGGTGAGATCCGTTTTATCGTGTGCTAGATAAAATCAATCACCCTTTGTGACTCTCTCTCTCTCAGTCACTTATAAGGTAGTCTAATACAGATATCTTACATATTGGATTATGAACTTTTAGACAGCTAGCAAGATTAAGTAGGTTCTAGCACATATTAAGTAACAATTTAATTGATACGCTATCCTTGAATTTTGTGTATATCTTATAACTCTATTACAGACAGATGAGTAGTGAATGGAGTATCCTTCAGTACTGACACTTGTAGCCTCCAGCTCAGGAACAATTATTTAAAAATGACCCCTGCTAAAGGTTCTGTTTCAGGACCTCATTCAAAAATTTGTGAAGGCAGACGAAATTGTACCACTAACTTTACTTATCAAGCTGAATCAAACTTTTACTAACTTTACTGAATCAAGCTTTTACACCAATAGTCACAATAAAGATGTCTTAAGTATTACAACAGTTCAACTTATCCCATCAAAATCCCTAGAATCTAGACCCCTGAAGAGACACCTGGATTCCCTACACATTTTAAAGGCAGAGATACATAGGGACTTGTTTTCTACACAGTACAAGAAGTCAACAAAAACCTTCAGGTGGAACTGTCCTTTATTCAAGAGTGAGTGATTAAAATGCTGCTAATGTCTAAAATAAAAAAAAAAAACCACAAAAATACAGGCCAAGAGAAAGAATGGCACTTTTCAATTACTTGTACAATACTTCTCTTAACATTGACACAGAACAGCATTAGAAACCACTGTCAGGATAAAAGAAAACTGACAGAAAGACTTGAAGCACAAAACTGTGCATTGAAGTTTTACAACTCCAGCTTTGCATTCACTACAGCTGCACCCTATGGACTTATCATTAAACAGTATGAAATGCAATACTAATACAAGTTCCAAATTTTACTTCAAGAGGACAAGTCCTATTTTGTACATAGGAGCCAGCAGTGTGCCCAGGTGGCCAAAAAAGCCAATGGCATCCTAGTCTGTATCAGGAATAGTGTGGCCAGCAGGACCAGGGCAGTGATTCTGCCCCTGTACTCAGTGCTGGTGAGGCCACACCTTGAGTGCTCTGTCCAATTCTGGGCCCCTCAATTCAAGAAGGATGTTGAGGTGCCGGAGCAAGTCCAGAGAAGGGCAACAAAGCTGAGGAAGGGTCTGGAGGGTAAGTCCTATGAGGAGCAGCTGGTCTGACCGTGACCAGGAACCTGGGCAGTATGCCCAAGGAGGGAAAACTGGGTGCTGAACTACCTAGCGACAGTACTAGGTAAGTCAGGTTTACCATGTTTTTGTCTGAGTGAAGTTTAATTTTGGGATGAAAAAAGATGAATATGTCTACTGTCTTGGTCAAAGGACACATGGCATAATGCACAAGTTATAAAAAAGGAAAAAAAAAAGGGTCCTTTTAAAGACATGGAGCATGCCTGAAATGAAACCCAGAAAGAAGACCTCACTATAAATAAAGGAAATGCTACTATGGGGATGGCTCAGATCATTTATAGAGAAGCCTGGCTCCAATTTTAGCAATATAACAACACAGTTGATCGATCTGTGTGGAAAACAAAGCAGATTGGTCAATTCAGTGAAGTCTAGTATGAAACTTCTGGCCATTTGAAAAAGGTGTCTTTTTGTTTGTTTTGTAGTTTAGTATAGGTGAGTCTCGATTTTAGCAAACTCTCTGATATATTTTCCAGGTGCCTCAACACTGATTTATGGTCTATTTCGCAGCAGCAGAATAAAATATATCATTCTCTGGCACATTTCAGTAAAAAATTGTCAGCTGGGAATGAATGACAGCACCACTGAAAAGAAAGCTTTATATAGGCATTAAAAATCTCAACCAACTCAATTCTACCTATGTAATTTTACAATATATACAGTTGGAAAATTCACCTTTAAAAAAAGGTTATCTTAGGGGGAAATTACAGCTTGTGAGATAGAGTTTGTCACCACAAGAATATGATGCACAAATAAAAGTCGCAAAGAGAAAAGACAAATACCATGTCAATTCTGCTTAGGCAGAAAGATGCTTGAGCAACTAACCTGATAAAGCAAGCCCCTTTTGAATCTTCCTTTCCATAACAACAGCTAAGGCATCCTGCAATATGTGGAACTGCAATATCACAAAAATGGATGGCCTACAACATGAGTTGAAATCCTTGACCAATGTGATGTTCCAGCATTTCTGAAAATCAGTCTTAAGATAGGCCCTATTTGCTAAAAAATACTCGAGGACAAGAGCAGTAATGACTGTTATTAGTTTCTTTGAAGTTCAATGATGAAAGCCAAAGAAATGAACATACAAAGATCACAGCTGAAATGGTACAAGAATTATAGTCATAATTCCCCTGTCATACTGGCATGTTTGGACGGTTTCTAAACTGTAGCAAATTTGTATTGCAGTTCCTCAAAATAACTCTACAAATAACGTCAAACTGAGCAGCACTGTACAGTTATTACTAGATGGTTACATACATTTATTAGGTAATTATTTTCAACAGACTTTTCCCACCTTTTTTTTTTAATTAATCTTTGCTTTTATCACATGTTCTTCAAGAATTTAACAAAATATTAAAATTTTGAGGTTGTGCAAACTTATTATCCATAATTTAACCAGTATTTTGAATGGCATATCAGATAAGACAGTCAATTTCACATGTATAGTCTTACTTTCCTAAAAAAAATTTGCAGACTTGGGAACATTAGTACAACATATGAGAGCTGTGATTGCCTTGTTTTAACAACTTGCAGAGCACTGTTGCAATGAAGCATTAACCCTAAGATAGCACTGGATAAAAATAACAAACATTATGAACAAAGTATCTATTTGTGGAATTCTGGAATTAAAATCAGAGAAGGAGAAGTATGCTGTAATGATAACAAATGAACAAGTTAGCAAAAATGAATACAAAATATGCTTTTAAAGTACAGAAGTAGAAATAATTTTGTCATGATCGTTGAAATAGTTCAAGATCAAGGAAGTGATTATTTTTTAAAGACAGAACATAAAAATAAAAGTTTAATGATCCACAGCGTTTGGATGAATTTCAGGTGAAAACACCCCACCAAAAACCTACACAAAATTAAAAAAGTCCAAACCCCCAAGACATGTGCTTACCATACAATCAAAATTCAGGGGCAATAATGCTTTACATAAATTATTGTCCTTTTCCTTACTTGTATATGTTTGTGAATTAAGAATCTCCCAGCTCTCTTGCTGGAGCTACTAATCTGCCCCATAAATTCCTGTAACTATCTTAAGATTTTTATGATTTGTCACTTCATGACCCCAAAGTTGCTTGCAGTAGGTAATCTGAGGACCAGGAGTGCTTAGATCCTGCTACTGCCAGCCTAGGAATGAAGCACTAAAGCAAAACAAAGCCATTGCTTTTCTTACAGAGATTAGAGCATGAGAGATCAAGAAACATTGCATGATGTTTAATTAATTTAACAATTCCTTCCAATATACCAGCACACTGTCACAAAAAAATCTGAATATGACACACTAGAGAAAGAATTAAGTAAATTGTTCTAGAAATGTGAGAAGAAGAGTTTTCATTGTCCTCATTCTGCTGAAAACTGGAAAAAACACCCCAAGCCCACAGAACATGTAGATTTTTTTGGAAAGAACATACCTATTAACTCTTTATTTCTGACATCTAAGGCCATGTTTCGTAAAGCTGTAGCAACTGCACATACCACCCGGTCATTGTCTATTCGAAGCAGTTCCACCAATATTGGCAATCCTTTTTCTTTGCGGACAGCAGCACGGATGTACACTGACCACTGCAAAGACACATGGGAGAGTGTGAGGAAACTGAGAAATCCACTAGAGAAAGCAAGGCATCTGAGGTTATAACAGAGTAAGGGGTTATAGAAGCATTTGGATGCAAAACTCAAAAGAGGGGAAATAATTGCATTTATGATGCTAGGTAACCACTTGATTTGGCAATCTGTGCTAATTTTTTATGGTGACAGAGAAATTAAATGATGAATTGACTTTACTCCCAGCACACCTGGTTACATTTTTACAGCCCAAGTCTGCAGATGACTTACTTTGCATCAGTATTTCATATGCAACATCTAATGATGCTTGTTTACTGCTAAACCAACAAAATTTATATTAGAAGATGTATATTACAAAGCATATTCAAGAGGTCTGAGTATTTCTTTGTTATTACCACAAGAATTATTCAGTCTACAAACATGAAAATGCTGTCATTATTTCTCTTGTGATTGTCAATTAGTTCAGAAGGAAAAATGAGGACAACAATATATGCGGTTTTGGCACCTGTAGTGATCCTAACTGGAATACTATTGTACATTGAGGTGGTAGATTCCCTCAAGAGCTGACCTGAGGGTGGTGCAGGCCTGTGCTGTGCCTGGCTGCTGTATCATGTGGCTGCAGGATAAATCCAGTGGCTGATTCTATCAAAGAAGCCCCTAAGCATCTCCCACGTGACAGTTGGTCACGACACCACTGACATGGCCTTGTCCTTATATCAAAGAGAGCAGAATGTTCTCATGTAAACATCCTTTTTATCTAACAATAGAAATGATGAATAGAGTTGTTTACTTCTAAGAGATCCTCTAGGAGCTCTAAAGATCATCATGCCAGTCAACAAGGGATCTGTGCAGTGTGCTGTGACTAGGCGGTCCATCCAGTGCTGCACAACTTGGGGTTCTTGGTACCCAAAGGGATGAAAGATTAGCTATACTTCCCCCTCTTCCATTCTGCTGTTAGCTCCAGTAGTTGCAAAAAAATTAAACAAGACCAAAACCATGTGGTTTTGAAATCTATGGGTATTGCCAAATTTAAGATGTTTGGACACCTGCAGGATGTGCAGATCTCCTCAGCATAGCCCACTTCAAAACAAGCCATCACTAGGCACATATTCCCTCCCACTTCATGAACTCTTCTCTGGAATTTTCACAAAGTTCACATTCATGCTGCTTGTACTGACAGTTGAAAGGAAATCACTGAAGCAGAGCATCTCGTTCCTTTCAGTGCCATGGCATGGACACTTATCTTGCCATTGTACCTGGAAGGTGAAGACAAATTCTGGAAGGCCTTAACTTTTGAAGTATTTCAAATATTTCAGAAACTAGGATAATAAGCCTTAGGATTTTCAGATCACAATGACCCTTCTCTTTTGACAAACCTTCCTTAAGGAACAGTTAAATCACATCATAAGAATAATTACGTTGCAATAGTGTTACTTCATAACCAGACAGAGTAAAAACAAATTTCATGAAACAAAGCATTAAAAAAGGTAAGCACATCCTCTGTCAGCAGACCATGCTTAACCCCTGCATATGGGCTCTACTTACCACAGTTGTGCTCACTTTAAAAAGCTAGCATCGGTTTATATTATACATAGGTGCCCTGAATAGCAAAACCTGGAATATATATGTATGATAAGAACAGTAGATATGGAGATAGACAAGAACTGCAATACTGCAATATCTGGAGTGCAAATTCATTCTAGGTGATATAATTCAGGGGAAATTGGGGAAAAGGAAAAGAAACCAGCATTTAAGGATATTGTTTTATTAATTCTTCTCTGTAGTAACTGTGCATAACAAAAGCCAGTTGGACTTTGCTGTAGATGAAAGTGATAATGGTTATGATAAGCTTTCCAGTCAGGTAAGTTAGACAACGGGTTCTCAGCATCACTGAGCACAATAATGTGTCTAAAACTTAAACGTGCTGTCATTTTCTGCAGCAAAGCAAACAGCTCTTAGGTGAGAGAAGTGGTAGCAAGACTCTTGGTTGATCTTATTCCAGGGTCATTCCTCCAGTCTCTTCTCTAGAACCAGTGTATATCATCAGATAAAAAACTAAAACACATCTTAAGGATCAATGAGTTTAACAGAAAGCGTTTGCTGAAAAATTCTTTCCTACACTTCGAATCTAATGGGACATTAAATATAAAGGATGCTATGAAAACACCAAATGAATATTTCTAACCTTCCTGTTTTAATAAATATGTATTTACCTGCCAGTTAAACACATTCTCAGGTGCAGCTGGGAAATGAGAAATAGCTCTTTCCACTTAAAAAATGCTGTATTTTGTACATCTCTCCCTGGGGAGGCCTCTGCTGTGTCTGCTGTGATTACGGGGTGACTGTCAGAGTAAGAGTTCATGGTGTCAGTCAGAATATTTTGAGAAAAGAGTGAGTCTGGTTGAGGTGAGAGTTCAAGCTATCAGACAATATTCTGAAAGATGCTGTCATTCATTGCAGAAATACATCACAGATGTAGCATCTTCAAAATGGACTATGTGGGGAATCAGTGGGGGTGTTTGTTTTGAGAAAAAAAAGCTTATTTGTGTCTATTCAATACCAGAGAGAATCTAAAATGATCCTTTAGATTATTCACTATATTTTAAAAACCTTCATACTAAAACCTCAGTAAACAGTTTTCCCTTGATTTTTCTTTTTAGCTACCAAGGGAAAACACAAGCACTTGTTTCATGAAACCAGGTTTACAACAGACTCCTTGGGATGTAGTATTTTCATCATCCATTCCAAAGCAAAAGTTTAAAAGCAACAAATTAAGAAATCTTTTTCTTTTAACCCTTGGGAGAGAAGGAGACGTTACAGGAGGATCACTGAAATAACTCAATATGAAAAAAAGAGGAAGTATAAACCTCCTTACTGAATAAATGACATGCAAGCCTTCAAGATCCGTAATAAACCAATTAATTTGATCACAACAGTAAAAAATACAGCTCCAAAGTTTTCACGGGGGAAAAATTCAGATATAATGTTTTATAGATGCACATATGCACATATACACATAAAACAATGGGAGAACTACAGAAAAGCATGTATGAAACCTCTCCTCTCCCCTGGGCATTCCTCTCCCTCCCAAGCTGTCTTTTTCCAGAGGATGTCATCTGCTTTGGGAAAAGCTCACAGACTCCTCAGTGTGTGATTTGCTATAATTTCTTCTGCTGTTTCAAGTCATGAACCTTAGGCAGAAAGACAGAAAAGCCTATTAATTGTTTCAACAGTCTCTGGAGAACTTTCCATGTGGAAAGTGGTAAGAACTGTCTGGTTCTCTTTCCTTAAACTGCCAATTAGGACAAGTCTCTGCAAGCAATTACGCTGCGCTGTGTGGATTTCAGGAAAGCTCAAATTGAGATGCCTCAAAATGGCTATTTTATTCTTGCAGAGAATGGAAAAATTGATTCGCTCTGGAGTATACTGATGATCTTTTCGTTTGCCTAAAGCCATCATGGAACGCGCCTGCATTTCCACATTGTAGGTCAATTGCTAATAGGAGCTCAGTGAAGTATAAAAGCAAAGAGATGAAAAATCATAAAAAAGAAAAGAGACAAAGTGTTTGTTGCCTATCATTAAGTAAATGAGGCACTCTGCCAATATACTTAGTCATCCTGTTACTCCACAAATCAGTGGCAGTGTCAATGATCAAATAACTGTTCAGTTTGTAAAATGAAAGCACTCCTGTGGGAACTGCAAACACATTAGAGGGAACAAGGAGCCAGAAAATAAAATAAAATCATTATTGTTGCTAAGGGTATTATGGAGTCTAAATTATCAGAGACAAGCAAAGGAGCCACAATCTGTGCATGAATATGCTTTCCTGATAATTGAATTTGGGGGGCATAACTACCATATATCACTCTGAAGGTACGTAGTGGAGCTCTATGTCCATTTTCATTAGTACTTCCCTTTTTATTTTTGTCACAGTAATTAAGTAGAAAAATACAGTAAACTTGAAAACTATTTTTTTGTTTGTCAGTTATTATTATAAAGGACCCTTTCCAAAGCTGAATGCCCCTAGGGATTAAGATTACATTAGGCTAAAACTCAACAAAAGACTAATTAATCTAGATAAGACTTACTTACATTTTTCAGAAGAACTGAAAAGCTTTTAGTCAATTAACTCCTTTTAGCGTGTGGGAAGATGGCTGGGGGTAAAAATTAGGGGAAACTAAGAAGCTGTATTCACAGCCTAACAGAAGTTACAATGGTACAGAAATCACAGGGTAAAATGCATCTGTTACTCTCTGGATGGAGTGCGGTCAATGTGCTCCATGATACTCCCCATACAAAAATCCACACCTGTTAAGGGGGATGGAATGGAGGGTGGAGTGGAGATGCTGCAGCCTCCCTCCATGGAAATCCCTGCAGGGAAGGGAACATAGCAGTACTTTGCAGTTGATAAGACCACATAGCACCTGTAACCTAGGGAGATAAAAGAAGGTGTCCTGCTGCCGAGCGAAAAACTTTGGCGAAATCTCTCTCTTCAGATGAATTTGGTTCATTAAAGCCTAATAGTAATATTAATGCACACCTCCATCTCAAAGTTACCTGCCTCCAAGGTACGACCACACCCCACTGGGCATGCGCTCTGTATTTTTTTGGTTGTATCTTTAGAAGTAAAAGGATTTTAAACCAACTAGAAACAAAAGTATTTATGACTAAAGTCACTCAAGCTCCACTTAAACAGAAAGAAATAGTATAAAAGTAAGTTGAGAATGGGGGGAAAATCAGGGAAGACTCCATTGTAAGTGCTGGGATCAGTCAACAGTCTGAACCTGTCTTCTCCTCCTGTAGGGACACCTATTGGGTAAGAACCATAGTCTACACATGCTGAATGTTGCTATTGGGATTAGAGCTTGTTTGTATATTGCTTTAAATACGTTTTTGCAGTCAGGTAATTGCACTGGCAATCTTCGAATCTTAAACTGACACAATTTGTGTCAATAAAGAGTCTTATTCCATAAACTGCTAGAGTCAGTCCTTTACAGGCA